TGAGAATATGAAAAGAGATATGTGAACATGTGAATTACATGAAAAGTGATATGAATTACATGAAAAGAAGCCATATGTCTACATATATATGTGAAAGAAGCTATGAGCTTATATGAACATGTGATATGAAAAATGTATAGTGAAATGAGATAAGTGAAAATGCCCATGTTATGTGTATTGAGAGCTAGAGGTATAGTTGACATGCCAAGAGTTGAGGGTCTACGCGGTCCTTCGAGACATAGTGGTCCTTCGGGACATATGTGTTATATGTAGTCCTTTGGGACATCTACGTGGTCCTTCGGGACAAATTCTACGCGCCCCTAGTGGGAATTATACGAGTTGTGGTGATAGCATAGTGCACAACCTCAATAGACTCACATATCTACAGTTCTCACATGTGTACATGGGCTAATAAGAGATAACATTGAATACAATGTATGTGATATATATATGTTTTGTGATATGAATTATATGATATGATATATGTGTGGGTTAATGATTATTGTATATGTTATAAGATATATGATATGAACATAATATATCATATAAACAAGAGAATAGAAATATAAATGGTAATAATATGATAATGATAGGAAAGAAGATAATTATGTGTATGTGTGGATTTGATATATGAATGGATATATGTTTGGGTATGATGTGATAGCAGTAATTGTTCATGCATGATTACAAGTTATAGTTTACATTATATATTTATTGCCTCACTAAGTCATAGACTTAGCGTGTAAGTGATTTACACGTAGGTTTCAAGAGGAGTGAAGAGAAATGTGAAACAAGACATGTCAGTTTTTCTTACCGAATGTCAGATCAGAAAAGAGGTGAATAATATGTCTTTTTGTATAAAAAGTTCTAGTTGGCATGTATTCAAAAGAATATATTGTATAAGCTCTGATTAGTTTTGTAAACATTTTGAATAAGTTATATGTAGATGAATAAGTGAATTATGCATGTTCTGATCGGTTTTTACAATAATGTAAATGTATTTGATGTAAGTTAGTCATTTATATGTTATAAAAGTTTTAAATTACTCCTTATTTTATACAAGTAAAATTTTGAAAAGTCAATGTGACACCTCGAACTCGTATTCGGGTCGGATAAGGGTTGGGGTGTTACACAATCATACTCTTCTCGATCAGATGGAGTAGCCAAAAAGAAAATCGAACTCTAAAAGAAATAATGAACGCAACACTATGAAGTTATGAGTTGTCACTGACCAAAGGGTTAAATCGAGATCAAGTTAAGAAAATATATAAAGGAATGAAACTAAAGCCTATGAAATTTAAAGGTTTTATGTGAAGAAAAACCTACCTAGTTGACAGGAGATCCCAAGATCTAAGTTTGAAGGGACAATATAATTGCATCAATTATGTACAATCTCGAATCAAAAAAGCTCAAGATTCAAGCTCGAATCAAGTTAGATTCAAGCTCAAGTGCTCACCGCACGGCTACGTAAATTAAACCATTGAGTTTGGGCTTTAATTTATAGGATCGCTTGTGGAGCACTTGATTATATCTTAAAGATGTGGGATATAAGGCCACATGTTGTGAGTGAGATATACGACAAGAACTCCGCCCTCTTACCCGTGCTCTTTACCCTCATTGCAAAAGTTGAAAGCACAACAAGTCTCATCTGGAAATAAGAGCTCTAAATCGTGAATGCCATGAATTTACAGCTCAAAGCTTCAATTAAATTATCATCCAGGGTTCCATACGGGTTTCATGTCACGTTTATAGACGCCAAGTCCTTGGAAAATCAAGCTTAGTTAACCGTAAATTAAGAGTACCAAAAAAAAAGCTTTACTATACAGGGAAATTTTTGCCAGAGTCTCATGGGAAATCAATTTTTTGGGGTTGAGTAAAGAGTTTTTTTACCCTATCTAGCTTGTAGCTTTTTAGCAATTTAGCTATAGAATTTGAGCTCAGGCTCAGCCCTCAGGAGGTTCTGTTTCCTTTATTTGATACAGTTCCAAAGTGTAGACAAAACAGAATAGAGTTTGCCTAACACCCTGTTCGGATCCACGTTCCTGGTCATCGTCACGCAGTTTTGTTTCCTGATTATTTCGATAGTTTTTACGCCTGTTAACAACATAAAAATAATGGGAAATAAGTATGGAGATGTAAATGATGTTATGAAACAGTGGGGGTTGGATTAATTGGACCTTTCATGTTGGTGACAACATTTTGACTCTTCTTTCATAGCCATCGCAGTCCATTTTAACCTTGACTTCAACTGTGTGAGAAATTTTGACATAATTAGTAGAAAAGTGGAGTTTTGCAGGTGATTTTTTGAATTGTTGATTCAAAGAATAAGAAATGTACCTGTATTGGCTTGCATTTACTCCTCCTTTCGGAGACAATGCAAAAGTTTGAAATATAATCGAGAGCCCTCATGTTTGTTGCATAAAGCTTGAGGATACAAAAAACAGAGAGTTGAAGAGAGAAAAAGAAAACCAAAGAAACGTGGATAGTGGACAGGTATTCAAGCCCGTGTTTTAGAAATGGAGTATTAGCATTTTAGGACCTGTTATATTTGTAATCTTCTGATTTCGTCATTAATCAATGTTTACGTTTTTATTATTTGGGTTGTTAATTTATTTTTATTTTATGTTTTGATCACCGTTTGTTTTGATAATAGACCTATTGATTGATTTGACCAAATGTGATTTATTAGTTTATTTACATATAAACCCTTGTTAATTTCATTTTGCATAATTTGTATGTTACCTTCATGTACATAACTTAACTCCTATCACATAATCGAGTTTAAGGTTTATGGTTTATAGGTTAGGGTTTAGGGTTTATGGTATACTCTAATATGTGCTTAATTAAATGGGCTTTTATTTTTCTTTTAGTACCCTATCACATAATTAGATTAAGGGTTTAGGGTTTAGGGCTTAGATTTAGGGCTTAGGGTTTAGGATTTATAGTTTAAGGTTTATAGTTTATAGTTTAGAGTTTAGGGTTTAAGGTGTAATCTAACATGTGCTTAATTAAATGGACTTTTATTTTTCTTTTAGTAATATACAATGTAACAATTGGACTTGGGTTGCTTAATTAAAAAAATAAAAAAATGAGGGTAGTTGTATTATAGAATTTTTAATATATTTTTAAAATTTTATAATTATCAATAATATATTTTTAATAAATTTTTATAATGTAATTTTAAAAAATCTAAAATTATAATATAACATTTTTTCGAGCTACTAACGAGCTTTTCGAGTCGAATATCAAGTAGCTCGTTTCGGCTCGTTAAGAGCTCGAGTCGAGTCCATTCGATCCGAGTATTTATCGAGCCTTGATCCAGTCGATCTCGAGTAGCTCGCGATCTGTCTCGTCTCATTTACAACCCTACTCTCCTCCCAAGTATATTCCTATGATGTAAATAGTGATTGAAGTGGTATAATTAAACAAAGCTTTTAATGATCATTGTGTGCTTTGGTGAGCCAAACAATATAAGTCACCTATGTGAGAGTAAATTGGGGTTGCTTCAAGAAAATCATTAAACATAATTGTTTCAAATTCTTGTAGAACTAGACGATGTTGACTTTAAGGACATACCCATAAGAACTAAAATTCTTGTTAGATAGATAGTTGTATGAAGTATATCATTGTTTTCACAAACGACAGAACAATTCAAGGGCATAACGTCTACTGTTTGGGCAGTAAAGTAAATATACTATTACAAGGAGAGGTTCTAAAGAGGATACCTACTTATCTTATGCAACTATCAATCGTAGAGTCTATCACCACATCGAGTCAAAAGATTTTTGTTTATCAAATCTTCAATTTCATTCATGTGGGAGATTGTTGGAAAAATGTGTTGAATTCATTGAAGAATTTGATAATTGAATTTTCCTTAAATATAACATATTTATTTGAATATTTCAAATTAAAAAGATATTGAGTGAATTCTTTAGAATTCGAATATTATTAGGATAATATTTTATTATTTAAGGATTTATATTCGATTGAAAACATGGATATATTATTTATATATCTATATTCGATTAAATACAAATATATTATTTATGAATTCAATCTTTTTATTTTTCATAAATAATATATTTATATTTGATATTATCCATATCATTCTCAGATTAACACGATTTTTTCTAACAAATAGTAATTTTGAAATTAAGAGATTTGAAAATCCTTTTATTTTTCGTGTTTTATCTTATTTTTAGAAATATATGATGTTAAAATCCGTTTTTAATGTTTGATTGAATCATCATTTTTGATTATTCTCTTTTTTTTATAAATATTTTAACCATTAACGCTTTATTTTAATAAAAATAACTATTATTTGGATAAAAAATCGTTAGTTGACTAATAATCAATTTTTTTATTAATAATATAAATCTATAACAACTATTTTTGACAATATAAATTTGAACGTTAAACATTTCAAATTTTTTTTGTTAAAATAATATTATATCTTTTAAAAATGAATAATTTGAGAAGCAATGAGAAGGAAGAGATGGCAAAAATATTTTAGTTTTTTTAGAATGTCTTTTATCCTTTATATATTATAAAGTTTTTACATCTTAATTTTCTAATTTTCTTAAATAATAATTTAGTTTAAATATTATATTTTAAATTATAATTTTATGATCTATAATTTGTGTACGTTTGAATTTCTTTTATATTTTGTTAATTTATTTAAAAATACAAAATTTTAAACATCTTAATATTGAGCAATAATTATGATATGCTTGTAGATATTATTTATATTTATAAAAAACATATATTTATTTGATTTATATATTATAAAATGAATGTATTTAAAGCTAATTGTGGTTTTTGTATTTATTATTTACAATACTCATATAAAAGTTATTATTGGAAAAATATTTAAAACAATTAATTTCCTTTTCATTTGTTAACCGAATAGTTATTAATTATTAATTATTAATTTAAAATATAAAATATATTCTTTATTATTGTTTGTCAAACGCTTTTTTCTTTTCTTTTCATGTCTTATTTGGCTCTCTCATCCTGCAATATTCCGCCATGGAATCACCTTGAGAAACCCTAACTAAATCCACTCTAGCGTTCTTTTTTTTTTTTTTTTTTTGTAAAAAAAAACTTAACTGCCAAATGGGTTCTCTTGTCCCTTTTCAACACCTCAATCTCTGCCCAGAACCACAGCTGATCGCCACCTCCTCCGCCGTGAACACCTCCACCTTCACCACCAGCACCAACAACATCAGCGGCACAACCACCTTCAATTTCTTAACTCCCAAGCTTGAACCTAAACAAGAACCTTTCGACGAGCTAATACCTACACAGACTATTCACCAACAAGAAAACTTCCTCTTTTCCGTTTCAAATTCTACCCCTGATTTCATTCCTATCCCCGAAACTATCCCTCAATCCAACGTCTCCCCTTCCACCGATGACCAAAACGCCCTTTACTCCGAATACTTCCGTATCTCCGAGCTCTTCCGCTCTGATTTCGCCGAAAGGATACGAAAATACGGTGACGTCGCAGTACTTGACCCGGATTCCCGGGCCATCGTACCCGTACCCGAACAATCTCAACTAACCTCCGAAACCAGCCCAACCGACAGCTCCCACCCCGAACGAGCTTTATCCGTCGTCGTTTCACGTAAGAAGGCCGGAAGGTCTAATGAGCTGGTTCGGGTTGCAAATTTAGGAATCGAAGACCAGCTGCATTTCCGGGACCTTGTCCTAAGAACCCGATTGCTGTACGATGCCCTACGTATTTTAGTGGGTTCAGAGGAAGAGAAGAGAACCGGACCTGGACATGGTCGACGGGCTCGTGGCGATTTGAGGGCGGCTGGAGTTATGAGGGATCGGGAACTGTGGTTAAACCGTGATAAAAGAATAGTGGGTGCACTCCCGGGTATTGAAATTGGTGACGTCTTCTTCCTCAGAATGGAGCTTTGTGTTGTGGGTTTACATGGACATAATCAAGCTGGGATTGATACCTTGCCTGCGAGTCAAAGCTCGAATGGAGAGCCAATCGCTACCAGCATTATTATTTCAGGTGGGTACGAGGACGATGAAGATTCCGGCTCCTCGGTAATCTATACCGGTCAAGGTGGGTGTCGTAACCGGTTTTTGTCCGGGCACGAAATATTAAATTTGGCGGGGAAATTGATGTGAATGAATAATTTTGAAAATAATTTGTGAGTCGCCATCGGCCTTTTGGATCAGGTAGGTCGAATACCTAAAAATTATCTTTTAAAAGAGTTTTTAAGAAAACCATATTTAAAAGATGAACTGATCTGCGTTTTATAACCAAAAATTCGTTCTTTTTAATAATAAAAAGGGATTCGTGGTCGGTTACGTTTAGGGAAGGATTAGCACCCCTACAACGCCCAAAATTGGTACTTTTTAATTATAAATTGTCTCTATTATTAAAATTTAAAAATTCAAAAATATATTTAATTTATAATCCTATTATTTCAAAATTATATAAAAAATATTTATTTATTTAAAAATATCCGAAAAGAACTTCTAGGTGCCTTAAGACAGCTCTTTTCTTTGATATTGATAAATATTAATTTAAATAATATGGTTTACTTTTTAATTTTAAAATATCAGAATAGGACATCCAGTTGTATTAAGACTGTCCTTTTTCTTCAATATTAAAAATAAATATTTTAAAAAAATACTATTTATTATATATTATAAAAATATTTAATAAAATATTTAATAATATAATAAAAATACAAATACTACTAAAACAATATATTTAAAAACAATAAAATAAATGAAAACATATAAAATAAACGAAAAAATAAATTAAAAATCTAATTCATAATTAATCTAAATTACAGGGATTAAATATGTTATTTCTTTATTTGGTGACTAAAATAAAATTATCTAAAATTTGAATATTAGAATCAAATAAATTAAAAATATAAACTAAGGATTAAAATATTATTTATTAAAATTAATGGATTAAATCTGTAATTTATCCTAAATATATTATTTTAATATGAAGGACTAAAATAAATAAAATTAAAATTCGAAGACTAAATTAAAAATATTATAAATTCAATTTAGTGACTAAAATGTAAAATTTACAAATACGAAGGATTGCGGACGGGGTTTAACTATTTCATAATTACGCGCATAGTCCTTCCCGAAACGACGTCATTCGGGAAGGACTATAAGAGTCCAAATCGGCTGGCCCGAAGGGCCAGCCATTTCATTTCTTCTTTCTTTTTTTTCTTTCTCTCAAACAGAGAGAAGAATTCTCTGTCTTCTCTCTAAACTGAGAGAAGCTCAGCCGGCCGGCAGCCGTTAGCCGGCGTTCATCCGCCGTCAACCACCGCCGCCGGCCACCGTCTTCGGTGGCCGGAAAATTTTTTTTACATCTAAATGTAGATCGGACCGTCCTAATGACGGTCCCGATACTTTTTCCCGTTAAACGACTCCCAATCGGAGCAGATCTACAAATATACCTTCGGTTTTTGTTGTATCCGGCGAGATCCGTGGTCGAGGCTTCCTCGGTAAGTCTCTTCTTCCTTTTTCTTTTTTTTTTCTTGGTTTTCTTGCTGCTGAGATCGTTGGTATTAGTTTGTATTTTCTCTGTTTTTTTTTTCTATGTCTCTCTCTATTCTTTTTTTTTTGTCTCTCTGTCTCGTTCTATCTCTCTGTCCTCTTTTTTTTTCGTAGATGGGTGGTGGCTTTTATAGCCACCACCGTTGTAGCTGTCGGACCGGTCCGAAGAAGGGCTCTCGGTGAGTCACCGGACTACCAGTGGTGACTCACCGAGTAGCCATGGCGTGGACGGCTGGTATATTATCTTCTGGAGTCTTCGGTTGGGACGTGGCAGCGGCGGAGGCGGCGAGATAGCAACGACGGCCGCGTGTCCCTAGGGTATCAGACCCTAGGGTTTCCCTCTGGCACCATCTGGACCGTTGGATCGTGCCAGATCCAACGGTTGTGATGAGGCGGCTGGTTTAGATTAGGGTTAGGAAACCCTAACTGGAAACCCAAATGTTTAGGGTTTCTGGTTTGATTTGGACCGGTTATGGTTGGTTTGTAACTGGGCCGGTCCAGTTGTAATTGGTATGTAATTATTATTTATATATATATTTAATATATATTTAATAATAATAATAATAATAATAATGATAATAATAATAATAATAATAATAATATTATTAATAATATTAATAATAATAATATGGATAAAAAATTAATATCTTCAGCTGCCCCTCTTTGCTCATTCTTGTGTTAACAAGAATAGGGCAAAGATGAAAAGATAATAAAATTTTTTATCCATTTTGACTTTACTTTGATCATAAGGGAGATATTGAATAAATTCTTCTCTTTCTCCAGATAAGTTCTTCTTATTATGAACTTTCTGCTGGGGATGATGATGACTTCCTTTCTGTGATAGAGTCATTCAAAAGGTTGAATAAGCTCTTGATGAGTTCTTCTCATTATGAACTTTCTCTAGAAAGGCTGATGCTAATCTATCTCCTTCTGCGATAGAATTATGCAAAAAGTTGAACAAATTCTTCTTATTATGAACTTCTTCTTCCTTCTTCAGATGAGTTCTTCTCATTATGAACTTTCTCTGGAAAAGCTGATCCATCAAATGATGGATTCAAGTAAAAGGTTGAACAAATTCTTCTCATTATGAACTTCTTCTTCCTTCTTCAGATGAGTTCTTCTCATTATGAACTTTCTCTGGAAAAGTTAATCCATCAATTTGATGAATTCAGGTAAAAGGTTGAACAAATTCTTCTCATTATGAACTTCTTCTTCCTTCTTCAGATAAGTTCTTCTCATTATGAACCTTCTCTGGAAAAGATAATCCATCAATTTGATGAATTCAGGTAAAAGGTTGAACAAATTCTTCTCATTATGAACTTCTTCTTCCTTCTTCAGATGAGTTCTTCTCATTATGAACCTTCTCTGGAAAAGATAATCCATCAATTTGATGAATTCAGGTAAAAGGTTGAACTAATTCTTCTCATTATGAACTTCTTCTTCCTTCTTCAGATGAGTTCTTCTCATTATGAACCTTCTCTGGAAAAGATAATCCATCAATTTGATGAATTCAAACAAAAAGTTGAACAAGTTCTTCTCATTATGAACTTCTTCTTCCTTCTTCAGATGAGTTCTTCTCATTATGAACCTTCTCTCGCAATGTTGATCCATCAAATGATGAATTTAAACAAAAAGTTGAACAAGTTCTTCTCATTATGAACTTCTTCTTCCTTCTTCAGATGAGTTCTTCTCATTATGAACTTATCTGGCAATGAATGATCCATCAAGTGGATTTGAAATCTTTGCTAAAATCTTTGAAATTTCTGTTAACAATTCAACAAGAATAAAAATGAATGAAAATGCATCTATTTTTGCAAATGCCTAAATATGATGCATGAATATTAAGTTGTTTGATTTCAGACTGGTGAATTGAGTATTTCTTCAATTATAAAAACCCAATATATCTGTCTTCTTCAAATCAAAGAATCTATCATCTTTGACAAATGTAGATGTAGATATAATGTCACAAAACCTCTTGAGAATAAAACTCAATAGTATAAACTTTTGAAAAGCTTGCATTCAGGCAACATGTTGATTCTGATAACAACTCATCTGATTATGAAGTGACCTTTCAAGATGATTTCACAGATATCGATAGTTCTTTTAATACCGAGAAATCTTGAATTCTGATTCTGATGAGGAGATAAACTGTTATACTTGACAAAAATGTGATTCTCAGAAGCTGAAACTTCAATAGCCATGTAGAGATGTGTGGTCCAAATTCATCAATTGCAGAATTGGCAAATTTTATATGTGCTGCTTAAATGACTAAGGCTGCTGATGTACTTCTTCTAGTAAAAGATAGGAAGTCATTATGCAATGATCCCAATTATAAGCAAAGGCAAAAACTTGGGCTATGATTTTTGAAAAGGAAGAAGCAGAAGAAGCTTGAAAATAAGCTTCTTAATGAAGATGATCATGCAGTTCATCTTTCAATTCCAACGATCGGTTTTGGGGTTCCTACTGAATCAGATCAGATAACTCAAAGAACACTTCCAGAAGATGCTATTGGCAAATTCATCTTCTAAACTCAATGATTGTTCTGTCCAACCAGATCGGATAACTCAAAGAACACTTCCAGAAGATGCTATTGAGCAAATTCATCTTCCAAATTCAATGATTGATTATGTCCAACCAGATCAGATAACTCAAAGAACACTTCCAGAAGATGCTATTGAGCAAATTCATCTTCCAAATTCAATGATTGGTTCTGTCCGACCAGATTAGATAACTCAAAGAACACTTCCAGAAGATGTTATTAGCACATTTATCTTCCAAATTCAATGATTGGTTCTGCTAAACCAGGTCAGATAACTCAAAGAACACTTCCAGAAGATGCTATGAGCACATTCATCTTCCAAATTCAATGATTGGTTCTGTCCGACCAGATCAGATAACTCAAAGAACACTTCCAGAAGATGCTATGAGCAAATTCATCTTCTAAATTCAATGATTGGTTCTGTCCGACCAGATCAGATAACTCAAAGAACACTTCCAGAAGATGCTATGAGCAAATTCATCTTCTAAATTAATGTTTGGAATAGGATATCACAATACTTATTTGATGTAGAGCCAGAATTTGTAGATTCGAAGTATTTCCATGCTACTACACTGAAAAGGGCTATATTCATAATTCTGCCAATTAAGAACAGATTTTCTCTTATTTTGCTTCCTCCATGTGCTGATGCTTTTCCATTGACAAAGAAATGATGGCCTTCCTTCGAGTGTTCAGAAGTATGTTCTTGATGAGTGCTGAAAATGGAATCTAGTATGGGTTGGAAGGAATAAAGTTACTCCACTTGAACCTGATAAGGTGGAAATGCTTCTAGGTTTCCTTAAAAACCATATACAAGGATCTGTATAGAAACATGTTTCCTAGTGATATCAATGTCTTGTTTCTTTTTGCTGGAATCAGTACTGCAAAGATCATCTTCTACTGTTTTAGTATATCTTTGAAAACAGATGTGCAAGAACTGAATGGTGATCGGTTGGAGCAATTGATGAGTAGATTTGGAGGATTCGACCTTG